TAATGCCAGCATGATGACATTTCTTTAAACCTCTTTCCTCTCAGGTACATGTTTGAGGGAGGAACTAACTTTGGCTACTGGAATGGTAAATACCTTAATTTCGATGATTGTGCCCATTTGTTTAACATTGATTGCTTGTATTGGCTCACTCCTCTTTACAGGTGCTGACCATGACACCAGGTTTCGCTCTGTGGTAACCAGTTATGATTACGATGCCCCACTAACTGAGGCGGGAGACCCAACAGAGAAGCTATACGCTGTCAGAGATGTTATAAAACAGGTAAACCTGTAGACACAACCAATCTGTCAAGTTGTATGTAATTCTCATTAAATTTTGTTATGAAAAATGTAACCCCTTGACATTTTTGTATATAATCTATATTTTCTTTAGTTAGTTGCCAAATTGAAATTTTTAAACTTTTTTATTTTAAAGTAAATAAAATTTAGGTGTATTACAATTCAGATTAAGATCACAAATGGAACATTCTCACTTCTTCAGACAGCAGGACTCCTGCTTTAATTTACCACAAGTCCTCTAGGTCCCAAAAGCAGCAAAAGAGCCCCAGACCAACATACCACCACCATATTTGATAGAAGGGTTTTCCTCTTCTGAAATACAGGGGATTTAATAGGTCATACATACTTCTCTATTGTCAGTCCACAGAGTATTTATATGGATAACATTTACAATCGTATAATATAGCGGGCTAAACTGTACCAACGTTCAAAAACTCTTGTTTATGAAGTTTCAAAAATAGTTAAGAGCTTGAGCTTTGATTGTTACCTTTAGAGCAGGATTTGTCTTTACAAAAATGATCTATTGAAGTTTACCCTGTCTGCTGCAAAAATCATCAGTTTTGCCAAGAATGTGTAGCCTGGTGTAAGAATTAAATCATTTCTGAAATATCAAATTTGGGATTTTCTTTCACTGTAAGCCATACACATAAAACAGAATAAACACCTGAAGAGCACTATAGCACTTTTTTAGTATTACTTTTTAAACTTAATTTCTTATATTCTGATTTATTGAGATGTCCGTGTTGATTTGTGTGAACGTAACCTGTGATTATATCTGATTAGTTTAGAGACATCCCCTCCGGCCCCATGCCACCAGCAACTCCTAAGTTTGCCTATGGCTTCGTGAAACTGCAAAGGGTAGTATAATTTAATCAAGTTCGTGAACATTTTTTTTTAAATGTTTGGATATCTGATTCTGATTTCGTTTTACAGGTTGGCAACATTAGCAGTTTGCTAGACACAATTTCTCCTTTTGGGCCGGTCCAATCCAAGTATCCTCTGACCTTTGAAGAGATGAAACAGGTATGGTGCTGGTCAGGGGAACAACACAGAACAAGCTAGCAGTGCAGAGACAGTAGACCTCTTTAATCAGAGTAAACTTCTAGACTGTTGTGTCTGCTGTGTTCATTGTGTCCAGTACTATGGATACATGCTGTATAGGACCACGCTGCCACAGGACCTCTCAGAGCCCACGCCACTTATATCTCCACTGAATGGGGTTCATGACCGTGCATATGTGTCAGTCAATGGGGTAAGGGCTTTATGTTGACCTTTTGTTTGTCTAGCCATCCAGGCTCGCAGGGAAAACACAGGCTTGACATAAGCTTACTTAATGTTATACACCCAGGTAGAGTATGTTGTACCTTTGGAAGCTAATGAGTGATTAATGTGTTCAAACAGGATTTCCAGGGGATGCTACAAAGAGATACTTCGCTTGTGATGAGTGTAACAGGACGGCGGGGGGACACCCTGGATATTCTCGTTGAAAACATGGGTAGAGTTAATTTTGGCAGCAAGATCAATGATTATAAGGCAAGGCAACCACATGAATTATATATATAACCAGATATAAACTATAAACATGAACTGGCGGGGGTCCTCTTAACACGTTTTCTGTGTTTTAGGGCCTAGTGAGCAACTTGATCTTAGGTAAAGACATTCTGACAGACTGGAAGATCTACCCATTGGACATTGATGGGGCCATTTCTAGAGGCTGGCCTCATTCAGCCAGTCAGAAGGCTGTTACATCCTCACAAAGAGAACCTTCAGTTGGGCCAACAATCTACATGGGGGTTTTAGAACCTAACGGGCTAGCCTGGGACACTTTTCTCAAACTGAATGAATGGACAAAGGTAAATCCTCATATCATTCCTATTGTACCCTATACCCACTTACTGGCTCATCTGATAAAGATGTGTAAAAAGCTCCAAAATGACCTCCCACATGAGAAATCATACATTTTAATAAAAAAATCTGATTGGGAGTGGGGGTAATTGAAGTTCTATCACAAGGCAGGATTAAATTGGGGGTATCAAAACTTTCATTCGGTAAATTCTGGAAAAATTTCAACACCTGTCTAGAAGTTTGTCAATTCAGTCAGCTTGCGGTCGTTGAAGCGCTGATCTTTTTAGCACTATGGAACTCCATCCTTCTGAGTATTCCAAGTAAGATGCTAATTACTGTCTCCCCTGTCATCCTCCTGGGTTGATGGAGTCTGTTGTTTTGTGTGGGTCTTGTGTTTGGGCATTTGAATTGTGATGAGTGTGCTTATGTAAATGGATCAGAATTTTTTTCCAGGACCAAATTGTAAATGCTTGGTAAACGCAATCCTGCCCCCTCACTCAGGGATGCCTTTTCCTTCATCCCTCTTTCAATCCCTCAGTCCTCTTTGTCCAATAATCTGAACATTTTACTTGTCAAATGTGTGTCCTTTGTTGTTAAGGTGTTACCGTACAGCTGAATCTTACCCAGAGTTGCTGCCTCTTCGATGCTGCGTCATGTTTTTCTGTGGCTGTTTGTTTTTTTCAGTTTATGAGTCCCAGCAGTCCTCACTGCACTGCATCATTTAAAAAATGCTGCTCAGCTTAGGTTGTTCAGTTTTTGGGATAAACCCGTTGTTGTCTGAGTGTGTTGTAGGGTTTGAAATCCTCTGGTATGTTATGTTTAGAGGAAATCCTCTTGAGTTTCTCAGAGACTCCTGACACACGTGGAACAATGTTTTGTTCTCCTTTGTGTTCGAGGCAGTGTTGTTCTTTCTGCTAGTTTTGTTGGTTGATTTAAACACAGTTTGGATAACCACATGCTTCAAGTGATTTCCTTACATGTTTGTGTTTTTTGATTTCTGCTCTGTTATAGGTGGTATGTTTTTTAGCTAGTAACTCAAGAGTTCTGATAGCAGAAAGCTTTTGTGCCAGAAAGAGATAAAATGAAGGTATTGGTCTGTATGAGTAGGTTTCTGGTGAACCTCAGTATTAAGACTCCCACTGTCCTAAATGTGCACAGCACAGTCTAGAAAGGGCAACATCTTGTTTTTGGCATCATCTCTGGTCAACATGAACTATGTCCACTGAGTTGCTGTGGTTGGTGAATCTTTGTTCTTTTAGTTTGGATGGATATTTAGCCCTGTCAAGGTGGTTATGTTTTCATCTGCATTGGTTGTCTGTTTTCAAAATAAAAAATGTATGGATGGATTTTGCTGAAATTTTAAAATAATTGTGCATATCGTGAATGACAAATTATTGCATTTTGGTGATGATCGACATAACCATCTGGATCCAGGACGTTTATGAAAGATTCTGTGAAAACAGTTAACTTCAGGTGGAAGTTAAAAAATGTTGGGGGAAAATAAGCTATATGCAGCAGGTCTGCAATGGCATTATGAACTCTCTGATAACCTGGATTTTCTGAGGATCAGAAAGCCAGCTGTATGCGTCATTAGACAGCATGACTAACTTTGTAAATTCAATATTTCTTAATGCTATTCCTTCACTAAATGTATTCCAATCAAAGGTTAGATTTGGCTCTTTGTTCCATGTGGATTGCGCTACTGAAAAAAGATCCTTCTATTTAAGGTTTTTTACACGTTTACCAGAGGTTCCATTAAGTGTGGGTAAAGTTATAATAGATTTTAAATGTGAGAATGATAAGTTAACTCCCTCTTCCCTGATCAGGGCCAAGTTTGGATTAATGGAGTGAATTTGGGACGATACTGGCCAGCATGGGGCCCTCAGCAGACTCTGTATGTCCCTGGACCCCTGCTGAGCACAAGTCTGCCTAACAACATCACAGTACTGGAGTTGGAGAGAGCCCCAGAACACCTGCGAGTTCTCTTTATGGACCGACCTCAACTTAATGTCACGGCTGGGAAATCCTGACTGCTCTACACATACACGGAAAAAAATAAAGGAGATGAGATCTCAACTGGGAAAAACAAAACTGCTGGATATCTGTACTGGTATGGAGTAATGTAGGAGTTAAAGGGTGCCACACCATTTGATGGAAATTAAAATTAACTCACAAAGCGCTTAAGTAGAAATCATAGAAGACATTTATTGCTTAAAAAAAAAAAAAAACTGTCCACAGCCTGTATTGCCCCACGTGGTTGAACAACATGTAAACAGCAGAGGATGGCCCTCATCTCCCAGAACCTGAAGCAGAAACCAGTTAGCACTGCTGGTAGGACAGGGGAAGAACCTCTGATCGGCCTGTCCAGCTATACTAGAGCAACTGTTTACCTCCTGAAATCATGATCTTGATCCTTCCTGGAGGAGTTTGGCTGCTCGTGCATCCTCTGAAGCTACCTGGTGATGTCTCCTGCTATCAGTAGAGACACTGACCCTGTTCAAATTCAAAACTACTGAAAAAATGTGTTAAAAGAAAGTCCTGGGTCTCCACCTATAAAACTATAACTGTTTATATTGTTGGCTCTTTAGTGAACCTGTTAATTTCATTAACCAACCAGATCGATATTCCAGAAAATTAACAAACTTGCATTTTCCCCTGTTTATTTTTTTAGCAATGTATGCTGATAAAACAGGAAATATTCTTTGCTTCAATTTTGCAAATTCTTTATTGGCTCTATTGTCTTTTTTTTTTTTCTTTTACTTTGAACTTGTAATCAAAGCAGGCGATCTTCAGCTTTTATAATCATCTGTATTCCAGTTTCCCACCATTATTTGTAACTTTACATTGTGTAAATATATAATATACAGTTGTAAACCTGGATTAGTGTTAAACAATTTACAATTTTTAATTAAAAAGATGAACATTTATATTCAACAAGCCAAAGAGTCTTGTGCTTTTAGGTTTCAACCTTCTAGATTCATCTTTCCAATGTTTGCTAGGACTTGCTTGGAGGAGCATTTGCTTTTCGATGTACTTGAACGCATCGTGGAGTGCAGAATGAATAATCCAGGTAGGTAAATGGAATCTTTCCGAGCAGAGATTCTCCACAAGACCAGCACCTCCTGTTGAAGAGAACAATTACACAGCAAAAAAAGCACACTCCATTTTGATATTAAGCCTGTTTATCATCATAGATGACCTTGTGGAACTTACTGGACATTAGAGAGGCTGACTCCTGATGCAGCGGCTTGTTCTGCCAGCCTTTTCTCTGCTGCTAGAGCTCTCTGTCATCAAACAGGAAAGACTTAAACATGTTCTTTCTTGGTTTTCTAGACATCACGCCAAAATGTTTTCCCACCTTTTCCCGATCTGTCAGAGATGCAAATCTTTTCTTCTCTTCTGCCTCCAACTCCTGTTTTCGCTTTTCCTCCTTCTGCTCTTTCTCCCGCTGTTTTCTCTGAGCTCTCTGGGCTTTTTTCTTCTCCATCTTTTTGGATTCAGTCTCGGCTGTTAGTGGCCCAGGGATCTGGAGTTGCACAGCAGGGAAACTAAGCTTCTCTGCCTCAGTGTGATTCAAGTCAAAGTAATTGCTCCGCGTTCTTACCTGTGCTTTGCTGTAGTCGTGCCTATCGGGGTTCTCGCCCATGTATTTACGAAAGACGTTCCTTGTGTCTTTGTCAGGGGCGACAATATACGGCGTCCGGGATTTGTTATCTCTGTAAAGGAATATTGTTAAGTCCTTTAGCAGGTGACAACCAAAAACTTTTATATATTATATAGATGTTCCTGAAAATGTTAGTATGTAAGAGTCAGCATGGAAAAATGTTTGTCCTTTAAATTATATTCCACTTCCTACAAGACAAAAGGGCTTTTTATAATGAATCTTATTTAAAAGATGATTAGTTTTAGTTCTACAACTAAATATTGTTTTGTTCAACTCACTGATTTTTTTTCAATAATTAAAAAAAAAAGCCATTTCTCTTATTTTGGCTTCTAAATTCTTTATTTTAATGGTTTAAACCTGAATTTGGGTTGATATGGATTTAGCCTGGATGTTAAAAAAGCTATAAATTTCATATTCTTGCAATTTGGGGAATTAAAAAGTAATGCTAACTTCAAAATATGAGATGAGGGAGCTAAAAATAAACTAGTCAAAGTTTTTTCAAGTACAATACATTGACCTAAATTTGTCTCGAAGAAAAAAAAATGTAAATATCTTTAACTCACAATTTTAGCAATGTGTTGTTTAATTTATAGTTGGATTTAATGGTTTGTAACATGAAAAAAAGTAAAGAGTCAGCTATAAAAACATTAGCAAAGCCCTACATGCATCTAGAGTTGCAGATACCTGAATGCAGGATCTGCTCCTGCATCAAGCAGCAGCCTGACCACAGCCTTCTGTGCAGCTGCTGCTGCGACGTGCAGTAAAGTGAATCCCGATGAGTCGATCGGTTTATTTAGGAGGCTTGAGGGGGCCATGGTAAAATTCTCCATCTTTTCAGAATGGTTCACCATTTCCTGAGGTAGCTGAAGTAGACTGCAAACAGTCCCAACATCTCCAACTTTGCATGCGGTAAACAGAGCATCCCTGAGGCCATAATCCACCGACTCATCAACATCTAGAGAGAGAAAAAAACTTAACAGATTAAATGAATTTATATTATTATGCTACAACAGCCAAATACATACATCTATACTCACCATCTTTATTCTCCAGTTTCTTCTTACTTGTTGTTACAGGACATTCTTGCTCAGGAACCTCCTCCTCTCCTGCAGGTGTAGTCCCATGCTCCCCCTCTTCTTCCTCACCTGCTCCTGCATCCATCCTTCCAGTTTCTGCCAGATACAGGATTTATAAAAAAAAAAAACTCTCGCATTTAAAGCCTTCTATAGTGTCTAAAGTATACCAACCTTGATCATGAAGTTTGATTTGCTCCTTCTTTTTCCTCCTCCTCTTCCTGCGCCTGGAGGGATAAATTTCAGACTCTCTCAGGTCCAGAGTTCCTATTTTGACCTCAACCATCTCCAGTTGGGTCTCCTCTTCCTCTTCTTCTGAGCTTTCATCGTTTTCCTCCCCTGGTGCCGGAAGTTTATCTGCATTTATGTTTAACCAATTAAATATTGTTGCTCAATATACCTAGATGATTTGCTTATTGGGGCGTTCATGTCATAAAACGCACCTTTCTCCTCAGCTGCGGTTTTCTGTGCTGCAGCTTTGGTCGTGTTTTTTTCCTTCTTGGAGGGACTAAAAACAGCAGACATGTCTGCGTCCTTCCCTGCACAGTCATAGTATGGATCATTATTAACCTCAGCCTTGCCAGACAACATGCAGTCACTCTAAACGTACCATAAACCTGAACAGTAGAGAGGACGCCATGCACTCTCTGCACTTCCCGAAACGTCGCCCTGCGCGTGGCGAAGGGAAGCGAACGGATCCGGGGGTCTTTTTTTTGCAGTGGACCCCCACGGCCTCCGAAGAAGATGGTCTTGTTGTAGCTGGGTGCTCGAATGAAAACGGCAGAGGCTCGGTTCAGGTGCTCGGCCCAGGTTAGCAACAGATCCTGGATGTCCTGCAAGGAAAGAGGAAAGCTGAATCTCATTAACATGGAACATCATCATAATGATATCATAATATATCATCAAAAAGTCACTTTATTTTACAGAAGGAAACATTTAAACTGTTAATTTGCATCTAATGAAAAGAGCATACATATGACATAAGATAAAGAACAAATAATAAAACGCAGCAATGCATAATGAAGGCTGCAGTCAAAGTGACTTGGGGAAAGCCACAGGTCTAATGCCTCCATTCCTGGTCGCTTTGATGCAGTATTTGATTCAAAAGGAAGCAGAAAGGTTTCTGAAATGACGAACTCTGACGTTATCAGGTCTTTAAGTTATCTAATCCACTGACATTTTAGTTTCCAGTTAATCTAGTTGTAATAAAACTAAGTAAAACTTAAAGCTAATTAGTGGGTTGTGAAATCCATGTTGAAGATCCGTTCTTTAAAGCATAGGAAGATCATTTTTCCTTTGGCTGACATAATCCTCTCTTCAGAATATATCTTGTGCAATATTCCTTTCAATGCACGCGCATTCTCAGCACACAATAAAACATGCAGAGTATAAAAGTGTTTCACTCATCATCCAGCTTGAGTTAAAAACTCTAAACAGCATAATGTTTTATTTGCTGGGTTGTGTTTGTAAAGTGTTTTTTATTCCTAACAAAACAAACTAAAGCTGAACACAAACAGATCAAATAATTAAAATTAAAAGAATTTGAGGGAGTAGGAATTGGATTCAAACTATGATAAAAAAAAAAAAAGTTAAATTAATTTGGATTATTTGCAAGCATGTTTGAAGATATCAGTTTTCTAAAGATAAATAACGGAGCAGGTGGATCCACCGTGAACCTGCCTTAACGAGCGCGGCCTCGTTGTATCGCCTCAAAGCAGCTCCGGCAGATTTGGCCATGTGGCTCCGGTTCTGGGAATCCCGCAGCCCTTGGGCAGTGCCTCTCTTTGCTCGCACCGTGTATCGATGGAAGGTCTTGTGTTGGAGAACTTGCCTCCTAAAACAGGCATCATGAAGATTTGATAAAAATGAATCTCTTAGCCTTTTCTGACAACGATGACACCGATCTGAACGATGAACAAATGGTCAGATTTACCCTTCGAAGACGGCTCCAGCAAAGTGTCCGCCACCCGTCATAAGAATGACCCAGACGGTTTTCAGATTTATAGCCTTCAGAGAGGAAACCGCATCCTGTTCATCAGAATCTGACTGAAATATGAGACCAGAAGTAATGCGTCAACAATAAGTAGCATCACAAGTCCTTTGAACATGAGCTGAACCTGTTGAGCCTCACTTTTCCCATTAGCACGCAGCGATAGACCGACAGATATTCTCCTGCATCGTTCTGAAACAGCACCTTACAGGAGAGCCGACCATTCATTAAAATAGACTCGGCTGAACACTCGTCCTCCGTTCCAATGATGTTACCCCCACCTCCTGTGCTGTCGCCTTCATCTTCATCTGAGTCTGACTCTGAGCCGGAGATGCTTGACAGGTCTCCTGCAAAATAAAATACATATTTCCTTGTTTTCCCTCAGTTAATGTCTAAACTATGGCATGCCAGCTGTATAAATATTAGAGATCCTTGATGTCCGCCATCATTTTCAGGAAAGCACTGCAACAGCTAGGTAGCTGCTCTCACAAAACTCAATATTTTGCTCCACTAGTTTAAAACACACTCCTAGTGGAGAGTTTTTAAAGATCTAGTGGTACTAGTGGCCTTTATTCATAGACCAGAATGGAAGTAGGCAGAAACAGAGAGAGGGAAGACGAGTGACAGAAGTCCTGAGGTGAGACAAATTTCGCCTGAATTCACCTCGCCTTCACTATGCTCCATACATACAACTTTTGCCAACTGACAGGGGCAGTTGTAGCACAAGAGCTAAAACTAAATTGCCTTTGGACAATCTGGTCAACGGATAGACCAAGAAAGTACATGACTATATCATACTCTATACCCACACTTTGCAACTTGTTAAAAATATTCTACCTGCTTGTTAAT